AAAAAAACGAGTAGGTGTGTTTTATTTAAGGAATAAAAGACGAAATTCCGTGTTTGATACTCTGATCAAAACACGCGGGATGTAGGGAGAGCACGAGAGAAGCGTAGGAAACCACGACGCGTAGCGGAGTGGTTTCCAGCTTTTCGAGTGCTCTCCCTACATCCCAAGTGTTTTGATCAGAGTATCAAACACGGAATTTCGTCTTTTATTTCTTTTCTAAAATCAAAAGAAAAAAAGAAATTTTTGACGTGCGCGAGCGTGTTTTGATACTGTAATCAAACATGGTTTTCGACCAATCACAGCGCGCGTAGTATCCTAAATATTTTAGAACACGTTATAATCCCTGGTTGAAAGTTAAACGGAAAATAGAATAATTTGCACAATTCTCTCAATTTATTATTTAATTTGCTCTCTGTAGTCGTTTTTACTGCAAAGATCCATTAGCATTTCATGCCTTTAAGGGAAACTCTCTGCAGGCGTTTTTTAATCAGTTAATGAATCGCCAATGTTATTTTTCGGCTTTCACCGCCCCCATCATCAATTAATTTCCTTTTTCACTTTACTTAATTAATGGTCTTTCCAAACTTCAAAAGGCCTGGTACCTAACCAAAATCTTGGAGCCTTATTACCGAGAGGAGACACTAAATCAGCCTTAAATTCTTACCAGAGATGAGCGTCATCACAAGAAACAATCTACGAATATTTACGAATCTACGAATATTACCAATTCACTTGATCATAGAGATAAGAATAAGTCCCTGTGTTTGGCGAAGATGAAAGCGTTCAAAAATCGAAAAACTTGTTTCAAGTCCCTTTTTGAATTCAATTCATATTCGATATTTCGGTTGAAAACCCAAAAGAATTGAAGACGAGGCTCATTGGATAATTAATTTTTTTTGCGCAAAAGACTTTTCATTTCTTTTACTTTTGCCATAACCATTCAAACAGAATAAAGAAAGTGGGTGGATAGGCAATCACGAGCCCAGAGTATCCAGCAATATCAGAAAAAAATGGACTCCCGCTGAATGGAAAGTGCGGGCTCTGAGTAAGAGATTATACTGCAAGAAGGGAAAGCGATCATGGTGATTGCATAATCCGAGGGGGCGTGTTTATCAGTGAGTGAGTGGATGAGTGAGTGAGTGCGTTGACACTAGCATGTTTGGCGAGGTTTTTGACCCAGTAGTGAATGTTTTTCGACCGTTTTTTTCAGTTTGACATCCTCATACATAAATCGGCTGTTTATATGTATCTAACATGTGCGTGTGTAAAGGGTGGTTGCTGGAGTTCCATAACCCTCCCCCGCTTTCTTGGCAAACAAAACCTTTGGAATGCTTTGAATATAACGTGAMTTTATTTGCCAAATCAATTTTTTGGATAGTCAACAAACACTTTCTTCTGTGTYAC